GATTTTTTTTATAGTAATAAAAATCATTTAGTTCAGTAAAAGAACAGACACTACAATTAAAAACTGAACGCGGCTGCTCAATGCAGCGTGCCGAACGACAGTCGCATCACAGATCAGATTTCATTTATTCAGTGAGGAGACCGAGTCGAGCTGACTGACAAGAAGAGTGAGGTGAGGTGAGACAGACAAGACGATGGCGGATGATTTAGTTTCAAAACGAAATGCAAAAACGCCTGTTTGGCAGTATTTTGGATTTCTGAACAGCCTGTTGACTTTTGCTGTTTATCTAAGAAGATTTTGAAAGTGTTTTTAAACATTTGTTTCTTATTATTTGGTTCCACAGTGTTTGCTGATTTTTACATTATTTAAACTTTGTGTAATTTGTTTATTTTATTTGACATCAAGGTGTATGCCGTGCCTCCAAGCTTTCTTACTCGTTTTGCTAATAAACGTTCTACGTTTCTTATTTGTTTGGTTATATATTATACATGTTTACTTAGCCTATTTCCAGTTTTGTATACCTATTTAAACTTTATGTAAGTTATTTGTTATTTCATATTAGGCATAGCCGGCCCTATAGCATGGTGTATTTTTATTTGTTTTGTTAATAAAAGTTCTATGTTTTATATATAGGCTAAAGCGAGTATGACGTCGTATTTTGTTGTTGCATTCAAGCAATTGACGCCGAACTGCCGCTAATTCGAAAGTGAAAGTAAAATGCGCACAGTGCTTTTAAGCTATTTAAAAGCGAAGGAAAGCGAGGAAAAGAGGGGAAATTCAAACAAACTAAAAACGAACAATTGCTTTACGCCGAATTGCCGCTATTTAAAAGTGAAAGTAAAATGCGCACGCATATTTTACAAGCTATTTAAAAGCGAAGGAAAGCGAGGAAAAGAGGGAACGCCCCCACGGTGATACCTTACCGGTGTTGTCACACGTCGATTAACCGGTGGGAAAATGTCCTCACTGTCACAACCCTAGTGGTAACGTGCCTGCATCTTAAATATGGACACTTTTTTTTATTACTGAAATGCTGGAAACTGTTTAGAAGAAGAATATTGGGAGCTCTTAAGAAGAAAAATAAAAAAAAAAAGACAACAAAATCACTAGGTTTTGAACTGGGCCATTTTTATGGCAGCAACAGGTATGCAATAAAATTTAAAAGTACGTATTTATATAAATTTGGCCTTATGCAACTAATCATTTTACGAGTTGACCAAACAGTCAATTAGTTGCTTTATGTAAATAAGGCTGCATCCAAAATTTTGAGATAAAATGCAAGACAAAACAATTGAAACCGCAGAGTGTCAATCCAGTTCCTATTATTAAATAAATAAACCAACTAAATAGAATATTATTTTCTGATTATTAAATTCATTGTCATGCTAAATGTGATTTGACCAGAGAAAAATGCATTTCCATGTTTTCTCTGGAACTCCTCCACTGAGAATAAGGCCCTGTCCACACAAACTGCAGCTTTTTCTACGCAGTTAGCTGGTTTGGCATGCACTTGACAGTGCTTCATAGCATGCGGTTTTCATGTGGACGGAGATTTTTTTTTAAACGGAAGAAGGAAAAACTCTGTTTATAAAAATACCCGTGTACGTGTGGACATGGCCTAAATCTTCAACCAAACGCATGAGTTTTATCACTGAAGAGCCATTCAAATTTATTTTCAGACATCCGCCGTGAGAAACAATTACTGTCCGAATAGGGCTAAAGATAAACTGAAATATTTCTGATAAACTCAATAACATGTCAGAGATCTGTCATGTGACAGCTTTGCTAAATGAATGGCACAAGATGTATTAGCGTCCCTAGGCTAGCAATGAGAGTTGTGTTTTTCTGAAGCCTCACCTTTCCTCTGGAGATTGCCCTGCAGGCGATGCACACTATGAGGTACGACCAGAAGGTGTGCAGGGCCTGCAGCAGGACGAGCAGCACGTTAAACACCCACCACGACGGGTACGGCCCAACAATCTCCCAGCTCTCAAACACAGTGCTGTTTAAAATCCTGCAAACACATTTCATTACAACAATATATGATATTTCATTAGGACAAGTATATTCAACAAATATGGCTTCAAACCCCTCACGTGAGATCAGTGTTACATTAATGCATTTCCAGTGTTACATTAATGCATTTCACATTAAAAATAAACCAGTAATAAATGTCACCAGCCACTGTACTAGTAGACGTTACTAGTTCTGGTTGCCCTAGTAACAGATATAAAAAAAACGTCAGTACAGGTAATTATTTTTTGTAATTTCATTAGTGTAGTTTTTGTTACTTGAAATAAAATAAATGTTAACTGAATATAAAGTGAAAACTTTATTTCAGCTAGTTGCCAAGGCACAATTTCTCATTTTAGTTTTCCTTAATGTACCAAAATAACTAAAATTGACATAAAAATGACTAAAACTATATAGACATTAAAAAAATAACTACAAAAAAATTACAAAATCACTCAACAAAATGACTAAAACTTTAACTAAAATAAAATAACAAAAATAAAAATGGATTCAAAATATTAATAAAAACTGTAGTAGTATTTAATTTTCAATAATACTAATATTTAAGTTTTCATCTAATATTTATTTTATATCAGCTTTATTTCAATAAAGAAAATAATTTTTACTAGTTTGTTTTAGTTAACAATAACAACACTAATTGTAGTTATTTCTTGTGGTAATCGACATTGTCACAAATGCGCAGCTCCATTTTAGCCAAAACCTGTTTATTTGAGATGTTAAATGGTCTAATGAAATCAAGTTAAAAATAGTGGTTTTATTAAAGCACAATGCTATTTCTTTCAGTGATTAAATGCCCATTATAGCTGTAAAAAGCACAAGGCCATCTGTTTCTCTCATTCTCATCGACACTACTGCTGTAGCCATAGTAACTATTACTTGGCAACATCATTGACTGAAGGTGTCAAAACCTGAAATGAAAATGCTGGTAAAGATGATAAAATAGAAGATTTGAGATATACAGATGAGAATGAGAGGTTCAGAGGTGCTCAGACGCCAGCGTGAACATTATTAACAGCACATCATCTGTTACTGACAGGAAAGGACTGACTTACCATACAGGACACACTCCCAGCCTGGAGCTGATGAACACCAGGGCAAACATTACGAACAGGACGTTGCAGAGTCTCTGGCATTTGCCGTAGTTGGCCATTTTAGCAGCCTACAAACACAATTTGCTGCATGATTTATATCAACACGACAGACATCTAATGCATGTAAATAGCACATCTTGCATCACCTATCTTGATTCCTGATTGTACAATATAATGGAACAGATAATATGGACCATAAAAAACCCCATAAAGTCATTATATGGATAAGTAACAAAATTAGTAAAAAAAAAAAAAAAAAGTATTTTTAAATATATATATATATTTTTTTTTTTCACATTATGTATCACAGTAACGTGGCTGTAGGTTTTGACATATATATATTAATAATTCACAGAATTGTGTCTTTTCTGTGGTTTTAATGGCTGTGATAGGAAATCACCTCCAGCAGGACGTCGGCAGCATCATGCAGGCACATGACCAGCGTTCCCACCCGAGCCATGTTATTCACATATGAGAAGGTGATCAGACAGATGGTGGCCACATGATGCAGGAACATCAGAAGAAAGTCCTGCAGGAAGTCACATGGAAAGTGTAAACATTTGATGCACTTTAAACCTACAAGGCAAACATTCCAACTATGCAGTACATTTTCCTGTCCTCATCATACATGTCTTTAATACATGGATCAAATATTAAAGCCATATCATATTACTTTAAAAAAAAGAAAATCACAATATCACCATTAAATTGAACAAGTTTGATTTTTAAATCACTGACTGTGGTTTGAGATCAGATTTACTTTAACAAAATTTCCAAATAGTATCAATTTCAACTTCAAATCAGGGTTATAATTTAGCACCATTTTTTCCAAATTCCATTTTTTCCATTTGAATTTTTTTGGGTTCTGTTTCCCCCCCCCCCGGTATTAACTGACTCCTTTTTAA